TGAATTGTATGTGTTTAATTCATATCTCAAAAAAAAAAATCAAAAGAATTCACCACACTTATTGCAAAGGAAGGTCTCTCTTACGCTGAAAAACAGTTATAATCCAGAGTGTTTAGAAATGAGGTTCGGTCAGCTCTGGTGTCCATAAAAGGCTGCACTGCAGCTGCGAACAAAGATGGACCCCCCACCTCCCGGCAGCTCAGCTCAAAAGCCGTTCGCAGAGGCTTTTCTCTCTGCAATTAGCTTTCACAGAGCAGCCATCCAGAGGGCAAATAGGTTGATTTCTCGCTTCCTCCTTGATCCGGAGCAAGTCAAGCAGCCAGCTCTTGCTGCCAGCCACCACCAACAATTAAATTAACAATTAATTAATTAACCCACAATTAAAACCAAAGTTAGTATTGGCTGATGAACATGGCAGATCTGTTGGAGTAGAAGTTTTAATACAGGGTATTAAAACATTAATCTTGGGACTTCGTGCTCCAAATGAAGATAAAGGAAATTTTTAAAAATATCTTATGGAATAGTTGAGAAATTTTTCTTATGAAAATTGGCATCAGATGGGAAATTGGAATGGAGTGGTATACCCGCAATTGGATAGAATATCAGAGTAGGAAGTTAAAAAGAATCAGGGTAAACTACCTAAAACATTTTTTGATTTGATGGACAATTTATCTTTAGTGGATATATGGAGACAGAAAAACGACACATCTAAAGAATATACCTATTTTTCAGAAAGACACATTGTTTTTAAGGATAGACATGATTTGGATTTCAAAGGCTTTGGCTGTTAATGCTTCTAAAGTAGAGATTTTACTAAAGACTTTTTCTGATCATAACCCAGTGAGTTGGACTCTTAAAAGAAAATCTAATTCATTTAGATGGAGACTAAATGAAATGTTCCTGCAAAAGGAAGAGAGAGTGGAAGACTGTAAAAAAAAAAATTAATAGAATTTTTTGAGAATAATCTAAATAAAGGTATGGACCTAAGAATGGTTTGAGATGCAAGCAAAGCTTTTATTAGAGGGTACTTCATACAGCATAATATCGTGTTCAAAAAGAGGAATCAAGAGAAAATGCAAGCTGTTTTGGAGGACATAAAGAGGAAAGAGGATGAATTAAAGTTAATACCAGAAAAGTTAAGTATTTCAAACCAAATTAAACTTCTACAGCAACAGCTATCCATGTTAACAGTGAGAGAACTGGAAAAAAAAGATGAATTATGCCAAACAAAAAAAAAATTGAACTTGCAAACAAGCTGGGGAGATGGTTAGCATATAAACTAAGAAAGGAAAAGGAAAAGAAAATGATTACAAAACTTCAAGAGGGTGATACTGTAATAACGGAAAATGAGATTATACAAAAAAAATTCATCAGTAATACTCAATTTATATAAACGACAGGATCTCTCTCTGGAAAAAATAGATGACTTAAAAAACAAAATTTGCCAAAGCTTTCAGATACACAAAGACAGGTTATGAATGGACCTATAACACTAATGGAAGTATCTGGAGCTATGAAAAATATTAAACCAAGTAAAACACCAGGACCAGATGGGCTCCCGGGATCATACTATAAACATTTTGAGGATGAAATTCTACAACCATTCCAATCTATGATGAGTGTTATACTGATGGAAGGTGGAATGCCCGAGTCTTCGGACATTGTAGAATATTTGGAAGAACATAATGAAAAACAAGCTGCATTAATTTTTTTGGATGCAGAAAAAGCTTTTGATAATTTAAACTGGCCTTTTATATTTAAAGTTTTGGAAGATATGAACTTTGGAGAGAATTTTATAAGAGGAGTGAAATCGATTTATATATCACAGAAAGCGCAAATTATTGTGAATGGAGACTTAAGTAAATCATGCAAGATACAAAAGGAAACTAGATAAGGCTACCCACTGTCTCCCTTGTTTATTTTAATTTTGGAAGTTTTGAATAGAGATATAAGGAGATATGAGAAGAGACATAAAAATCCAGAAAGAGACATATAGGTTGAGAGCCTCTGTGGATGATTTGGTGCTGGTGTTGGAGGACCCCTTGAAGGGGACTGAAGCTTTAATGAAAAAGTTGAAAGAATGTGGTCCTTTGGCTGGCTTTAAAATTAATAAACAAAAGACTAAAACATTAACGAAAAATATGTGGATACAAGAACAAGAAGAACTGATGAACAAAACGGGTTTTATGGTGGGAAAAAAAGGTTAAATATTTGGGGGTAAATTTGACAAATAGTAATTGTATGTTGTTTCAAATAATTATGTTAAGACTTGGAATGAAATTAAAAAAGATATATTAAGATGGGGAAAATGACTATTGCCATTGTTGGGAAGAATTTCAGTAATTAAGATGATTGAAGTTTTTGCTTCAAACAAAACTCATTATGACAACTGATGTTCTTTTTAAACAATGGCATAAAGACCTATCTAAATTTGTGCGGCAAAGTAAAAAACCACGAATCAAGGACAAAGTTTTACAAGAGGAGGTTTAGGTCTCCCAAATTTGAAGGTGTAGTTTGCAGTGTGTTGTGTGGTTTGGATGAAAGAGTGGGTGACTTTGAGAAATAGGAGGTTATTGGAACTAAAGGGGCATGACTTAAGGTTTGGGTGGCATGGCTATTTATGGTATGACAAAGTTAAAAAATCATTTTATTAGATGTGACATATTGAGAATATGGAACAGATATAAATCTACGCCGTCTCTGAAGGTTCCTTTATGCTTGTCACCACAAGAAGCTTTTTATAGAAGAGAAATTATAACTAAAAATAAACGGTTTACTTATGGTGACATATTGGAATTTTCGCAAAGGAACTTTAAATTAAAGCAAGAGAGGAACTGATATCAGAAGGATACATGTGTCAATGGTTTTCTTATGTACAATTACAAGAAAGATTTAAAATAGATAAAAAGACCAACAGTTTTGAACATGGTAAGACTGAATTTGAAGCAGCATTATGTACTAATAATGAACATGTTATTGCAAAGTTGTATAAACTTTTACTGAAGCTAGAGACAGAAGATGAATAAGGACTGTATGATAAAATGGACTAATAATTTTGGCTACAACATACAGATGGAACAATGGGAAAATATGTGGCAGAAAGAACTGAAATTTACATTGTTATAACCTGAATTTTTATAAAATGATGTATTGTTGGTACTTGTTGCCAGAAAAATTATCTAAAATATATAAAGATAATTTTTCTTTACATAATAAAGAATGTACGCTGGAAATGTGAACAACAAAAGAGGACATTTTATCATCGCTGGTGGACTTGTAAAAAAGCAAAACAATTTTGGAATGAGATACATATCTGTATACAGATTTTAAAGATCAATATTCAGTCAAAACCAGAGACTTTCCTTTTGGATAAAGAGTTGGAAAAAATTCACGGAACCTTGTTTTTATATACCATTACAGCAGCAAGGCTTTTGTATGTACAGAGACAGAAAGATAAGACATTACCTATAGTACAGTGGAAGAATGGATGGTGAAGTTGATGGAGTTAGCTGAAATGGTGAAATTGAAGACTTTGAGATAAGACTAGTGTGTGTAATATTAATGCTAACTGGAAAACCTTTTTGGACTTTTCACGGGAAACAGAAAAAAATGAAACTAAGTTGTGTGGATTTGATGATTAGAAATAATATGGATTAATAGGAATAATGGAAGTTATGTTTTAAAGTTAGAATAACAGTTTGATGTATATTGTTACTTATATCTGTTGCAAGGAGGGTCAGGAGTCAATTCTTTTTTTTTCTTTTGTTGTTTCTCTTTTCTTTTCTGCAGTTTTGATCTTTACTATTTTCTCTTTTTTCCATTTTTTTTTCTTATTATTATTCTTTCTCTCAGTATTAGTTTTTGTTAATTTTTACTGTTCCTTTTTAAAAACATAATAAATGGCCTTCTAAAGAGGCCTCCCCTCCATGTGAAGTACA